GTCGATGGCGGCGGCCTGATCCCCGTGCGCTCTTGTGTCGCTGTGCCAAGGCCTCCAGCTTTAAGAAGCCGTCGTTGGGAGCTGCGTCCCAGAGGAAGAAATCGAGTCCCAAGCTGGAGCTCACCGAGGAGCAGACGCAGGAGATCCGGGAGGCATTTGACCTGTTTGACACCGACGGCAGCGGGAGCATCGATGTGAAGGAGCTAAAGGTGAGGGGTTTCCTAGCGCTAAAAGCACAGTTCTGCTGAGGGAATAGGAGCATAAACGCCTAAATGGCTGTAAATTGGAGATTTGTTTTTTTCCTCCCAGCATAAAACTTTGTTGTCAACAGGTACACTGATCTCTTTAATTGCAGCTCTTTACAGCTGTTATGAGGTGTCTGTAGGGCTGGGCCGGCCAAAATATGTCGATAGTTCTGTGTTTTCTGTACTGTCTCCATCTCTGTCAGTAAAACATCAAAGAGTTTGTGCATATTAAAAAGGTGGGCTTTTTTCCCCCCCCTTTTATGTGTTGTAGAGGATTGCATGCTGTCAGGGGTTAGGGCTGGGCTGGCCACTAAACACAGATGGAGGCCCAAAGACGGGAAAGGGAATAAGGCAGAGAGACAAACTGGAAAAGAAAACAAAACCAGCTTTAATAAAACAATGATAGTGATAATAAGGTATGATTTCTATTTATTTTTTTTTTGCCCTTAAGGTGGCCATGAGAGCACTAGGGTTTGAGCCTAAAAAAGAAGAAGTCAAGAAGATGATATCGGATATCGATAAGGAAGGAACAGGAAAAATTAGCTTCAGTGACTTCTTGATGGTGATGGCACAGAAAATGGTATGTGCATTTTAAAAGTCACAGTGAAAGCAATTTTGAAAATGGCTGAGGACCTTTACTCTCCTTTTGGTTTCTGGAAGATGAAAGCACTATTTTAATCTTAACAACAAAATAAAAAGTCAGAATTGCAGGACAGGAACTACCCCATCTCATTTTTCAAGGCAAGGTTGAAATAAGTATTCCTCAACAAGTTTCTTTAAGAGTCAGTTTTGTGTGTGTGTAGGAAAAGGGGGAAAACTGAAATCAAGATTTTTATCCCAGATTTAATCCAACTCTGGCCTGCAGAAAGCAGCTGGCAGCATTAGCACATTACATGGATGACTGTGTAGCAGTGCACTGCTATTTCTTTTCTTGAGTTTTAAAATATTTGCAGATGAAATCTCTGGCTTAAAAAAAAAAATCTTAAAACATGTTGAGTAAAACTAAGTATTTAACAGTGGAAGATCCTGGTGCTGAAATCCCAAAGGTGTCTGGTTAGTTGTGAAAGAAAAAAGTTCCCTGAGACCCTGAGGTTCAGAAAGTATCGTTGTGCTTCCCTCTGCCTTCAGCTTTTGTACGTACGCTTCCTATGGCTGGGCATCTTTAAATTCACTCGTAGGAGAGTTTCTCAGCCTGGGTCATGCTTCTCTTTTATAACTTTGAGTGTTACCTGCAACAACGAAACCACTACTTTTTTCCCCTTAAACTCATGCTTACTTCTTTAAGGCTGAAAAAGATTCCAAAGAGGAGATTCTCAAAGCTTTCAAACTCTTTGATGACGACGAAACCGGCAAAATCTCCTTCAAAAACCTCAAACGTGTCGCCAAAGAGCTGGGGGAAAATCTCACAGATGAAGAGCTGCAGGTTTGTACCTGGTGTACGAAGCCATGTCAGAATGGCGGCAGTAGAATTGCAGTTTTAGTTACGGTGATGTAAAAGCAACAACTCAGCTCCAGGAGTTTTGTTTCTTCCAGGACAGTTCCTATAATACAACATTTTCTGTACACATTTCTGAATAAATATATGCAGACCTATTAGTGTCTGCTTTAGTAAATGTTTTGTGGCATCGTAGGTCTGAGATCGAGCCATCGCTGTCCTCTCCAATGCAACTTACTAAAAGGTGGTTCTAATTCTGAATTAATCTAACAGCTCTAGTCCTAGTCTGATCTGTGTTTAACTTCTGAATGCAAATGTCTTCCAGGAAATGATCGAGGAGGCAGACAGAGATGGGGACGGGGAAGTGAACGAGCAGGAATTCTTGCGGATCATGAAGAAGACCAGCCTTTACTGACACAGAATTTTATTTTTTTTTGCATATATTTATATATATATATGTACATGTTTGGTAGGTGCCTCATGTTTTTACAGTCTTTTATTTGTTTCGAGAAGGCAGAAAATATAGGTCCGTCTTTTAACCTTGTGTTTGTGAACCTTTACCAGCCGCTCACCTGTCTACGTGTGGCAACGTGGTTGCTCGTTTGTGTTTGTAAGATGTTTACACCCTTTGTTTCTGAAACACAAATCAGATTTTTCAGTGACAGTATTCAGCCTCTCCTCTGGCTAAAAAACAGGTGTCAAATGATTATGGTTTGGGCGAGAGAGAACTCAAAACCAGGGAGTGCCGATCTCTTATTTCCCAGCAGCTGCAGTTTGTGTTTAATGATTTAATGGTTGGGGTCCAGCTAAAGTCAACTCTCTGTGACGTATTTGCAGGGATCAGCTCTTTATACTCTGTTTTGTTATGATTTTCACCTCCTCCTTTTTTAATATGTTCTTTAAGCTGAAAAGAAAATTAAGTAAATAGGCTGCTGCAACTTCACTTGCTGCTATTCAGTTCACACGTTTAAAGGAGTCTCTTTGCAAAAAAATAAAAATAAAAAGAAGAAAGTTGCCAGTGCTGGTGATGAAAGCTCTGTATGTTTGCAGGAACATTCAGTGGCTGCAAATATAAGATCATGTTTAAAATAAAATGTCTTTATTTTAAGCCGTCAGAGCTGTGGAAGGAAGCACAGAGAAACGCCTCCATTACAGGAAACTCATTTTCTCATTTTAACACGAGACACGTAGAGGAGCATGTAAGTGCTAAGGGGTACCCAGAAAACTCAGATTATTTAATTTATCGGCCAGGTTTAATTTCATAAACGCGGGACGTGACCACCGCTCCTCAGGAAAAACGGGATTTCAGGTGTCCGGGCGGGAACGTTTGTCCCACCTCCGAGCTACTTCTCGCCCAATCAGCTCCCGCGCTTTCCCTGAGGAGCAGGAGTGCTAGCCAATGAGGAT